TGTGTTCTCTTAAGCTTCTCAAACTTCTCTTGTGATCTGTGTGGCTTGAGAAGGATGAAGAAGCTGCAAATGCTGGCCTTTCATCCCCTGTTTTTCCACCGAGGGTCTGTGTCACTGCCCCGGAAGGGGCAGGGTGCGTCTCCAGAAGGGAGGTCACTGACTTTGGCTTCAGCTCTCTCTTTTCCTGCTTTGTTGACAGTTCCTAATAACACTGCTGGCATCAGGACTTTGCAGATGCAGGAAGGAAGAGATGTGTTCTTTAATGATGGAAAAATCTTAGAGCACAATGCCCTTAAAATAGAACGTGTATGCCCAGCCTTTATTTCAGAGACTTTATTGTGGCAGCCATCTCTCCTGGGAAATGCTGTGGGAGGCTTTTCCCCTTTGGTGAGGCAGAGTAATTGTGTAACCTGAGGTGTCCCCAAAGGGGCCGAGAGGGTGGTGTCAACACACTGGTTTATGAAACATGACTCCGTTTTCATGTTGATCAGTGATCCAATAGATTCCTTCTCTCCAGATTCCAGTCCCTGTAAAGTGAGGATGATCATACATGGCTGCCCACCCCATGATGCTGTTCGGAGGATCAAGCAAGATCATGGACAAGGTTAAATCTCCAAACTATAAAATGTCACCAGTGCAAACTGTCATTGTTACTGACCACTGGGAAGTGCTGCCTCTCTTGGGAGGTACCATATTCCACTTTGAATTTCCTTTTTTTTTTTTTTTTCTTTTTCAATAAATCTTAGCTCTATTGTTGAGATTAATGCTTGGGCATTATGTGTGCAAGATGTTCAATATCCACACCAGAGAACGGATACTAAGTTTGCTGAGATTGGCTCACTTTCTTACCAACTCTATAGCATGGTTGAGGGCAGTTGTCATGATGAACAGAAGCAAACAGAGCTTTGGGCACTCACACAGATTTGACATCATCCAGCTCGTCCTAGGAACCCCCTGGGAATCCCGCCTGAACTGCTTTATTGCTGGCCTCCTGGCGTTTGGTATTGTGTCCAATGTCACCTTCATCTGGTTTTTTTTTTTTTTTTTTTGGCAGAAAATCATCAATGAAAAATGCTTCTGATTTCATGGTTACCTATTTTTCCCCTTCGTCAGCATCCCCTTATTTGGACCATTATTGCAACCCATTAGCAGGACCAATGACTTGTTCTGAGATGATGTTAATGATTCCCAAAGGAGTCCTCTGTGTGAAAGGGATTAGAAGAATCAAAAAGTTGCTGCCGTCTCAGTCATTGTCAACAGGGCTGAAAGGGACCTGTGTCCATGCTCCTCTGTGAATTCTTGGCTTCCGTTCCTGACACTACAGTCTATGACGTTTCATTTTTGACCAGAAAGTGCTCAGGTGGAACCCATGTTTTACCAGGAAATGGGACGAAAGAACTTCCAAGGGTCCACCTTCAGCCAACCCGGGTTCTGCCCTCCGTGGCACTTTTGTAGGAGACTCTGGAGGAAAAAGCCTCACAATAGCATTTGTGTGCGTGCGAGTGTGTGGATGTGTTGGCAGAGGGGGGATGGGGAACTCCCTACCACTCAGCTGCCTCTCTTGATTTGCTCAAATTTCATTTCCATTTGCTAGAGGGACATCTGCACATTTTTCTGCCCAGCCACATTTAATGCACATCAGTTCAGCACAACCCTCTGTTAAGGTCAACCGCCCCCCCACCCCCAGCCATCCCGGGGGGGTTACAGCGAAGGATACACAATACTCTAAATGGAATATTGAAGATCCCCATCTGTCTGGCAGTCCCGATCAATACATGTGAGCCCTTCCTTCCCAATTCTGTGCAAGAGACATGTCACCACCTGATTTTAAGACAAGCGTGAGATGTGGGGTTTCTAAGGGTTACTGAGTGCACGTACCCAGCTGTCACAGTTCTCCGCCAAGACCAGGATTATGCTCTTAATCATGTTATTTTGTTACGAAGGCGTTCTTTTAAATTCCCCTCACCCCCCTTCACTGCAGCAAAAAACATACCAGTGCCTGAAAGTGTGGGTGCCTTTTAGATCACTTTTTTTTGACTTGCTGAATGAATTTTTTGAAAGAGCTTTTGTTCGTGCTATTCAAACCTAGGCACTGTGGTTCTGGGGTACTTCTTGTGGCTTCTGCCAAAAGATAAGGCTAAGTAACAAGACCTGTGTATGTCTACTTGACATGGCGCTCAAAGAAGGCAGGCAGGTCTCAGAGGCCAGCTCTGGCCCCGTAGAACGCCTAGCTTGTTGGCTGTATGGGGAGAGCCACTCCTTTGGGCCAACAGTCTGAAAGTGCCCTGCAGAAACCGCTAACCCTACAGCAAGCGAGCGAGCAAGCAAACACAGAGATTAGAAAGCTGGGTTATCGGGGGAGGCACTTCTTGAGTCTGAGCGAGGACACCCCTGGGGCCGCAGCTAACATGCAGGCTGCACCTTTTCAGCCTGGGTCTCCTCCCTGCCAGAGCAGAACAAAGCTGACTGCAGCAGAAGCCCCCACCGTACCAGGTCTCAGGTTGCACTGGGGAGATCGTCAGCTTCAAACCAGTGTGATTGGGACTCCAGCCCGCCCCTCCACTCAGCCCTGATGAAGGCATTTGGGCTCCCCTACCAGGGAAGGGGGGAGGCATGTACAAAGGGCTTCCTGAGACGAAGGGCAAAGGGCGTCTGAGTGAGGGGTGTCATGTCTTCCTGGCTGATATTGCCATTCATGTAAATGAAGGGAGGAAAGAGACAATGAATTTTTTTCTTGGAAGAGCTGCTCTATCATCAGCTTTGGGGTCATGGGCAAGTTGTTTCATCTGATGGATATCAGCTTCCCATTTTTTAAAAAAATGAAAATCAGGGGCACCTGGGTGGCTCAGTCGGTTAAGTGTCTGAATCTTGATTTCAGCTCAGGTCATGATCTCACAGTTTTGTGAGAGGGTGCCCCATATTTGGGATTCTCCCTCTCTCTCTCTCTCTCTCTGCCCCTCCCCTGCTTGTGCTCTCCCTCTTTTAAGGTCTCAAAGCAAATAAATAAGCTTAAAAAAAAAAAAAAAAGAAAAGAAAGAAACTCAGTCTAGCTGTCAGCTCTACATTTGGGGCAGCCGGGCAGGCAAACCTGTCAGTCATATAAGAAGAAGGAAGATCTTCAGTTTAACAAAAGAAGGGATGGTGACAGCGCTGATTCAATTCTGTTTCCTAAAGAATCTGAAGTCAGGGGCACCTGGGTGGCTCAGTTGGTTGAGCATCCAACTTCGGCTCAGGTCATGATCTCACAGTTTGTGAGTTCAAGCCCTGCACTGGGCTCTGTGCTGACAGAGTCTGCTTCAGATTCTGTGTCCCTCTCTCTCTCTGCCCCTCCC